GGATGGATGGATGGATAGATAGATATATAGATGGATGGATGGATAGAGAGATAGATAGATAGACAGATAGATAGATAGATAGATAGATAGATAGATAGATAGATGGATGGATGGATGGATAGAGAGATAGAGAGATAGATAGATAGATAGATAGATAGATAGATAGATAGATAGATAGATAGATAGATAGATGGATAGAGAGATAGATAGATAGATGGATGGATGGATAGAGAGATAGATAGATGGATGGATGGATAGAGAGATAGATAGATAGATGGATGGATGGATAGAGAGATAGATAGATAGATAGTTAGATAGATAGATAGATAGATGGATAGAGAGATAGGATCATTATAGTGTTTGGTACTAGAAGTATAGAGGGGAATTTTTCCCCTATGCAAATATATCTCTAATTTTTCCTATAGAACTCTATGGGGTTCTATTGGATTCTCTTTACAGAAATACTTTGTTCTAAAACCAACTTTGCCACTCAAAAAACATTCATTTGTAGGCAACACAAACCTTTCTACACAGAAGAGACAACCTCTGTATAACCAAAATGGAGGTGGATTTTTTTCCCTCTTGGTCCCAAGAGGGCGCCAGATTCTCAGCCAAGCCCTGCAAAGGCCCTCTCCCAGCCTGCCATTTTTCTCTCCCTGCTTACCGCTGGTTGTAAGCTTGTGTAGACTGTTCAACGGCCACATGCATCGTTTTCTTCTGCATCACAAGCTGCCGACGGAGCTGCCGGTAGACGTGGTCATACGCTGCCTTCTCAAACCGCAGATCTTCTATGTCATGCCGGAGCTTGGAATTGGTGGTCAGCATCGTGTCAAAGTGGACAGTGACCTGCCCAAGAGACTACCTGTCAGGGTTTAGTGGGAAAAGGGAGCAACGGCTCTGCATGAAAACATGATGCGTGACTCTCAAGTAGTCCAGTTTCTCTGCCTCCAAGTCTAAGTCTAAGGCTCTTTCCCCTACATCAGCTGCCTCTTATGCAAGAAGTTTAAAGACACTCCCTTTCCTCCCCTTTGGAAACTGGAGTTAGGATCTCACGATCACTCTGTCCTAAGAAGTGTTCCGGTCTTTCTGATCGTAACCATGGCTCCATTCTTGGAATCCCTGAATCTCCCAGTGGCCGTACACCCTGGAACTGAAAAAGAATTTCCTTTCCATCTCCCCCAGCATGTGGTCACTCAGCATTTGCTTAGAGATTATAGTGAGGGAATAGCTGATCCTTCCCCAGGCAGGCCAGTCCACTTTGTCACAGCTCTCATTGCTGGGAAGTTTTTCTTATTCTCACTCTTAAACTGACCTCTTGGTAACTTTCACCTATGGCTGCTAGTTTTAACTTGGTGGAAGGAAGGAAGCAAAATCTTCTTTCACATGCTAACCTTTGGGACTCTTCAAGTGCTTGAAGAGAACCCTCATGCCCCCACCCACCAACTCACCCAGACCCCCAGGCTTCTCTATTTTCTAAGCTAAATAATACTACTTCCTTCTACTGATACTCCATGTGGAACGATCAGGAGTCTCTTCCCCATCCTCATTGCTCTCCTCTGGACACACTCCAGCTTATAAATGTCCTTTCCTCATGTGTGGGGCTAATTAGCTCATTCCTTGTGCCGATGGAAGAAGAGAAGGTGCCCTGCTCAGGTAGGATTGTGGATTTATTTTTAGGGATCAGAACCATGATTGAATTGGTATAGGGGATTTCCAAGGAGAAAGCCCCCTCAACCATTGAAGACTGGCCCCTACTCTGAAGCTTAAAGGCTTAGAGAATTGACTGAGGCGTTGAGAAGTTAAATTTTTTGTTTCTCTTAACAGTGAATAGCAGTTTAAAAAAGAAAAAACAAAAACAACAATGTTTTGCTTCAAAATGTGCTCCATTGCCAGAGTCATCCTGTGAAGAATACTCGGCACTTTTCAAAAGATATTCACAGAGAGCAATTCATTTGTTCCTCACAACACACACCTAGGAGATAGATAGATTAAAGACAGTACTGCATGGAAGAGTGCCCAGGAGACCTGAGTTCTCCTTTTGGGCTAGTCATTAACAGCTTACATTCCTCCCTGTAGGGAGGAGGAAAAACAACCACAGGGACATAGAATGTCCATACAAAATAGGTGCCTTGGGGGCAGCTAAGTGGCACAGTGGATAGAGCTCCAGCCTTGGAGTCAAGAGGACCTGAGTTCAAATCTTGCCTCAAACACTTGACACTTACTAGCTGTGTGACCCTGGGCAAGTCACTTAACCCCAATTGCCACCAAAAAACAAAACCAAACAAAAAATAGGCACCTTGTGATGTCAAGGGGTGAGATGGGGAAAATGATAACTGGAAAATGGAAGGTAGGTCCTACCTGAGATGCACTTTAAAAAGCACTAAGGATCGTGGTGTATCTTCTTTAAACACCCAGAGAGCCCCTGGCTCATTCTCTTTACCCTCTGCTAAAGTGGGGTCCCAGGAAAGGACCTGGTTTTTGTTGTTCAGTCATGTCCAATTCTTCATGACCCCATTTGGGGTTTTCTTGGCAAAGATGCTGCAGTTGTTTTCCATTTCCTTCTCCAGCTCATTTTACAGATAAGGAAACTGAGGCAAACAGAGTGAAGTGGCTTGCCCAGCGTCACATAGCTAGTAAGTGTCAGAGGTCGGATTTGAACTCAGGAAGATTGAGTCTTCCTGATTCTAGGAATGATGCTCTATGCACTACGGCGCCACCTAGCTGCCCCATACAAGTCAGTTATCCCCCAGTGGGCATTTTCCAGTGTGTTCCTTCTCCAAAAGGGAGCTGCATTTTAAGCCTCATAGATCTCTGGGAAATAAAAGGCATTGTACCTTGGGAGAGAGAGAGTTATATTTTGGGTGCCAGGGAGAGAGTAGGAGCATTATTTAGGGGGAACTCAGGGCAATTCTAGGGATTCCTCATGCATCATCCTTCCCTGGGCAAGAAGCAACCAATGTGAGATGAAAGGTCACAAAGAAAGTCATTTCCCCACAGAGCATTAGGACTCAACCCCAGGATCCCCAAACATTAATAGCCCAGTGTCTATTTCTACAAGCTTCTCCCTCTTCCCCAGAAGCCCTCGGGGGGTCAAATTATAACTTGGCTTTCCTAAGCACTTTAAGGTTAACAATGGTTGTCCCTCTTCACAGCCCTGTAAGTGGGAAATATGAATATGATCACCCCCACCTTACAAATGAAAACATGAGGCTCAGCCTGGTCACAGGATCGTAGGATCCCAGGTCTAGAGCTCAGACTCCAGAAGCCATAGGCTCTAATCCCCTCACTTTTATAGACTCCCATAGACACAAGGACTTGACCACAGTCACAGAAGTAGTAACTATTACAGGTAGAATTTGAACTCAGGTCTTCTGACTGCCCAAGTGCAGCTTTTTTCTCATCATATCCCATTATGCCCATTGCAAGGGAAAGGGGTGGTTTGGATAGCGAGGCCAACAACGCCACTTACCAGATTCAAATGGGTCTCCAGAATAGAAATTTGCTTTCGTAACTTCCGGGGGTTTTGGGTTTCTTGTATTTTCACCAAGATCCGTTTTTGTCTCAAGATTTTGTTTTCTATGTCCATTATCTTGGAGTGGGGGGAGGGGAAAAGGGAGGAAGAAAAGAAATCTAGCTGTATTGATGCCCACGAAAATTTTGCCCACCTTTTTCTTTGATACTTAGCCACCCGTGATTTGTTTCCCATGATAATGACACTTAATGGGGAGTGACTCCCCCTTCACCGATGCAGATCTCGTGACTTGGAGGTGACTTTTAAGAGCTGCTATGGCAGCAAAACATACCACATCACCCTCCAGCCTCCAGCAAACCTGGTGATGAACCTCTGTAAATCTAGGTGGGCTGGTCTTAGACAGTTAACACACACACACACACACACACACACACACACACACAATCAACAATCAAGCCATTGACAGTAATAATAATGATGATAATATCTTACATTTCCATGATGCTTTGATGTTTCCAAAGCACTTTTCATACATTATCTCAATTGACACAACAACCCTGTAAAGGTTATTAGGGTTATTTTACAGATTTCCCTCCCCTCTCCCCAGATTTCACAGATTGAGATTTACGTGTAGATGTACATTGTACTTATGAGGAAACTGAGGCTGTGAGCAATAAAATGACTTGCCTAGGTTTATACAGCTAGTAGATGTCTGAGGTTGGATTTGAACTCAGGTCTTCCTGACTCTGAGTCCAACATTATCTGCTATGCCACTGAGCTGCCTCTGAGCATTTATTATGTTCCAGGCATGGCATAGCAGAGAGCTTAACTGAGAATTAGACAGTTCAACTGGGTTAAAGTTGGATCTAGGACACTTCCTAGCAAGTCATGTTAACCCCTCAAGGACCCCCGGCAATTCTAAGACTTTCCCATCCAAAGCAGTTGCTATTCTGCCATAGTTAAAGGAGATTCAATTTGGGAGCTCTCCACAAATAAAATCCCAGGGAAGGAAGGAAAAAAGGAAGGAAGGAGAAAGAATGAAAGAAAGAAAGAAAAAGAAAGGAAGGAGAAAGAAGGAAAGAAAGGAAGGAAGAAGGAGGAAGGAAGGAAAAAAGGAAGGAAAGAAAGAAAAGAGAGAAAGAAAAGAGAGAAAGAAAGAAAGAAAGAAAAGAGAGAAAGAAAGAAAGAAAGAAAGAAAGAAAAGAAAGAAAGAAAGAAAGAAAGAAAGAAAGAAAGAAAGAAAGAAAGAAAGAAAGAAAGAAAGAAAGAAAGAAAGAAAGAAAGAAAGAAAGAAAGAAAGAAAGAAAGAAAAAGAAAATTGTTCCAGGCAGTGGAGATACAAAGACAAGAGTGAACTAGGAAATTGTACAGGCCACATCGCATTGCAAACAAGGAATTACATGGGGGCATTCACTAAGAAGATGCCAAACAAGAAAAGTATGATAAGAAAAAATAGTAGGATGCTCAGGAAAACTAATGGATAGCTTGTGGGCCCCATGGGCATCTATGCCATGTCAAGAAAATTTGAAAAAGGCCCCCAGCATCAGGTAGATCCCTCCTGTGGAGAATTAATGGGAAGCATAATCTGCATGGGTCCTTGGAGAAAACTCCCACATTGATGAGGTTACAGATCCATTGGAGTCAAGGAATGTTGTTTCTGTGTCTTATTTCCTCTAATCAATTATAATTATTAATAGTAATAGTTAGAATTTATATAGCCCTTACTATGTACCAGGCACTATGCTAAGCATTTTATAAATATCTCATTTAATTCTCACAACAACCATGGGATGTGGTACTATTATTATCCCCACTTTACAGATGAGGAAACTGAGGCAGAGCTGATGTGACTTGCCCAGGGTCACATAGCTATCAGGCGTCTGAGGGTAGATTTGAACTCAAGTCTTCCTGACTCTAGGTCCAGCATTCTATTTTCTGTGCCACCTAGCCACCTTCAAATTTGCATTCAGTGAAAAACTAAAAATAATCCCTGCCCTCAAGGAGCTCATATTCTCATGGGAAGACAAAATGTGAATAACTAGGTACATATAAGATCTGTACAGAGTAGATAGAAGGTTGTCCCAGAGGGAAGGTGATAGCAGTAGGAAAGAGGGGTAAGGCCTCCTGCAGAGCGTGGGATTTGAACTGAATCTTAAAGGAAGCCAGGAAGGGGAGGTCAGGGGGAAGAGGGGAGAGAAGACACCACCAATGCAAAAACATAGTCAAAAGATGGAAAGTTCTGTTGGAGGAACAGCAAGGAGTCCAGAATAGCTGATCATAGAATGTGGGCCAGATAGGGGCCAGATAGGGAAGGACCGCAAATGCCAAAAGAGGATTATATTTGATCCTGTAGGTATTAGGGAGATGCTAGAGCTGACTGGGTAGGGCAGTGACATGGTCAGACCTAGCTTTAGGAAAACCATTTGGAAGTGAGAGATAGATTAGAGTGGGGAGAGAGTTGAGGCAGGGAGACGAGTCAGCAGGATATTCCAATAGTCGGAACATGTGGTGATGAGAGCCTGTACCAGGGTAACGAAACTGCCACCACCTCTTACACTGCCAGAGGAGAGGAGGGAGCATTTATGAGATATGTACTCCAGATAGAAACGGTGAGATTTGGCAACAGATTAGATATGTGGGGTGCATGTGAGTGAGGAGTCAAAAATAAAACCGAGGTTGCAAGCCTGAGTGACTAAGAGGATGGTTGTACCTTAATGGTGATAGAAAAGTTAGGAAGAGAGAAGGTTAGGGGGTGGGAAGCAGAAAATTGGGGGGAGAGATAGATAATGAGTTCTGTTGTAGACATGTTGATTTTGAGATGCCTACAGGGCATTTGATTCTAGATGTTGAAAAGGCAGTTGGTGATGAGAGACTAGACCTCAGGAGAGAGATGAAATCTGGATATATAGACTAGGGAATCATCTACCCAGGTGGTGAAGGGAGAGGGGAAGGGGAAATGAGATCACCAAGCAAGATAACATAAAGGAAGAAGAAAAAAGGGTCCAGGATAGAGCATTGGAGGACACCCATAGTTAGCAGGAGAAATCTGGATGAAGATCCAACAAAGGAGAATGAGAAATGGCCAGATAGGAGAATCAGGAGAGGAATGAAAATGGCGAGAGGAAAAAGAGATCATTATAAACAGTGTCAAAGGCTACCAAGAGGTCAAGAAGATTGAGAAAAGGCCATTAGGTTTGGCAATTAAGAGATCGTTGGTAACTTTGGAGAGGGTAGAATGACGAAGCTGGGAGCCAGATTGCAGAGGGTTTAGAAGAGAGTGAGAGGAAATATAGAGAAGATAACCTTCCTAACGAGTTGAGCCTCATCAGACAATAGGCACAGGGGAATGGTCAGATCAAGAGGAAGGTTTTTTTTAAAGATGGTGGAGATATAGACATGTCTATATCTATTTAGAGAGAGAGAAAAGAACCAGTAGATAAGGAGATATGGAAGAACAGAGAGAGAGAGAGAGAGAGAGAGAGAGAGAGAGAGAGAGAGAGAGAATGATTGAGGGAGAGATTTGTTGAAGAAAATAGGAGGGAGTGGGATCCAGGGTGCACGTGAAGAAATTTTCCTTGGCAAGGAGAAAAATCGCCTCTTTATCGTAGCCAGGACTGAAAGAGGAGATGGTGGCAGACGTCTGAGTGATTTGAGATGAGTAGGAGGAAAGAAGAGCTAGCTCTTGGTGAAAGAGGGCAATTTTTTTCATTAAAGTATAAGGTGAAGTCCTCAGCCTAGAGGGTGGAGGGTGGGTGGAATACTTCAGAGACAAAAAGGTTTGGAATAGACTCTGTGCTGATTGGAATAGTGAATTGACTTTGGAAGGGGTAAGAGGATTGCCGTGCTATGGTGAAGGCGGGGCTGATAATATATAACATGCTTTTGGTTGGACCTAATCCGCACAGTTTTTGTTGCTTTTTTCAGCAGCAAATAAAGGCAAAGGAGGCCGATGGCAGCAGTAACCCAGGGATGAGTTTTGAGAAGGTGTAATAGGCAAGATAAGGCACTGGAGTAAGAATTCCAGGCTCACAGATACACAGTTGGGAAGGACATTCAAGGTCATCTAGACAGCCCCCTGCCTCCTTATTTTACAGGGGAGGAAACAAAGGCCCAAAGAGGTGAAGGGACTTCCCTAAGACCACAGTTGGTCAGTCAACAAGCAAACAGCTATGTACAAAGAAGCTATATACAGAAAAATCGGAAATAACTAGCAGAGGGAAGGCACTAGAATTAAGAGGGATTGAGAGAAGCTTCCTAGAAAACGTGGAATTTTAGCTGGGACTTGAAGGAAGCCAGGAAGGCTGAGAAGGAGTAGTCAGAAAGAGAAGGAGAGAGAGGGATGTCCCAAAAACCTAGAGAAGAGAGTATCAAAGAGGAGAGAGTGATAGACAGTGCCAAAGGCTGCAGAGAGGGCAAAGAGAGTGAGGATTGAGGAAAGGCTGTTGGATCAGGCAACAAAGAGATCTTTGGTAACTTTGAATACAGCAGTTTTGGTGGAATGATGAGGTCAGAAGCCAGGATGTAGCAGAGAGTGGCAAGGGTAGAATTTGAACTCAGGCCCTCTGCCTCCAAATCTTTTCCCCACTCATCCTGATGCAGCAAGATGTGTGATTCCAAGAGAGTAGCAGCAGTGCTGAGGAGGCCACATCAGGCACAGAATCACAAAATGAGAAGCAAGATTAGAGGTAAAGAAAGATTAAGAAGGAGAATATAAAATCATAGCAGAGAATATACTTTCCTTAACTATATATATAGTCATGTGGCCAATTAAGAGATTCTAGCAGCTGTATTAGGGCAGAGCGATTCAGGTTTGTATTCAGTTGTTAAAAGACTCTGGAAGTCACCTAATCCAATCTGTACTGGAAGGAGGATTCTCCCTCTCCCACCTCCTCAATGTGTGGTCATCTTTCCTCTGCTTGAAGACCTCTAAGGAAAGGCTTAGGGACAAGCGACATAATGGAAAAAGAATAGGAAAGGGGACAGCCCAACATGACCATTAATTGTATTGTTGTTTAAACAAAATCAACCTCAAATCGATTCAACAAACATTCATTCAGAGCCAGGCACTGGGCTCCAGACTGGGACCGTGAAGATTAACAAGAACTATTAGTTCTTGT